GAAATAAAATTATTATTATTATTATTATTATTATTATTATTATTATTGCTAAAGAAATGTGTTTGAACTGAGGTTTCTGAACTGTTTTCAAAGTCAGCCTCAGGCTGCATCTACACCGCTTTAAGTGCCATGGCTCAATGCTATGGAGTCCTGGGATTTGTAGTTTGTTGCGGCAGCAGAGCATTCTGACAGAGAAGGCTAAATATCTCACAAACTACAAATCTCAGAATTCCATAGCATTAAGCCACAGTTGTTATAGGGGCTGTACAGACTGATACTTTGAGCTGGCGTCAGGGTGGAGTGGGTGCATGGCAACCACACGCCGCATGGCCAAATGCCGCCCCAACACCAGCGTCATGCTGCTCACCCAACCAGATGTTGGGCAGTGTCACGCCACATCTTTGGCACAGCATTTTGATGCGCTGCACTGAAGAATTTGTGAAAAGCCGCTGCCGCGGTGGCAAAATCACCCTTTTGCCGCTCTAAAAAAGAGCAGCATTTTGCCGGTTCTTTTTAGAGCGGCAAACTGCTGGATCGGGGCCGTTGTGTGCAGTTGCTGCGGCCCTGATCCAGCGAGGAAAGGGGTGACCAGAGGCCGCTCTATTGGGACCATCTGTCGAGTCCCATAGTGTTGTCAATCTGCATTATTTATGCAGTGCACAGTTAGTTAATGTTTAATATAAGCAAGTCTCAATTTGTCTTGCCCTAGTTTTGTTCTTGTGTGGCTTCGAGTCATCTCCAACTTATGGTGACCTTAAGGCAACCCTGTCATGGGGTTTTCTTGGCAAGATTTGTTCAGAGGGTGCTTGCCTTTGCCTTTCTTTGTGGCCGAGAGAGTGTGACTTGCCCAAGGTCACCCAGTGGGTTTCATATCCAAGCAGGGAATCCAACCCTGGTCTCCAGAGTCATAGTTCAGCAGTCAAACCACTACACCACGCTGACCCCAGTTTCAACATATCAAGTTTATAACATTTCTTAAAAATAAAGGAATAAAGGACTGTGTCACTCACAATGCATAGCTCTTCTGGCATATCTGAGCAGGTGAATTAGGTGGGACAGCAATGAGGAAAAGGCAAGAGAGTGGGTCTGTTTGGAGTTTTGGTACGGAGTTTAGAGCAATAAGAAAAGGTGTTGAACTGGTTTTTTTTTGCCTGCCTAGGCTGGAGAATAGGGAGGGGAAGAAGCCAGTGTTGGCATTGCTGGAAGGAAAGGGCTTCCTTTGCCTGCTTAGAAGAGGGAGTGTGATGGAGGAAAAGAAACTTGAATCTTGCCATCATTCAGAGGGAAGGGTTTCCTTTTCCTTCTTGGAAGGGGTGTGTGAAGAGGAAGAAGAAACTGGAACCTTTGAATTTCAGGGACGGAGGTGGGCAACTGGGGTTTGCTTTCCTCACTTGGCAAGCCTGCTGGAGTGGGCACAGTAAGAGATATGCTGCCTCTTCTCCTGTTGCATCAGCTACAAAAGATAGTAAGAGATGGGCTATCTTTCTCTCTTTCTCTCTCTCTCCTGATGTGCTTTCTCCACCTGCGAAGTCTGTTGGAGAAGACACAACAGAAGAACACAATTCTTACTAGTTGCTCTCTGTCTGTGTGCTCCTCTGAAGAAGAACCATTGTCTAATGGCAATCCAAGGTCACTTTGGTTTGAGATTATTGTTTGGCTTTTAAATTAGTTTACCTGTATCCGGCTTAATCTTAATTCAGGTGGTATCCTGATTATATCAGACTTTTTTGCTGCCAAATTTGCTGCCCGAGTCCATCCCTGCTTCCAGAGCTGCTCCTTACGGCCATTTTCTTAAGCCAGCAAACTCCCAGATGTGAAAAGAGCTGCAAGGAGTGCTCCTGGAAGCGGGAATGCACCCCGGCTGTATTTGGACGGCAAATTCGGCAGCAAAAAAGTCTGATAAAATCAGGATGCCACCCAAATTAAGATTAAGCTGGATAGAAGTAGGGCCTGAACAGACTGCCAGAAATAATCCAGTGTGAGACCACTTTAACTGTCCTGGCTCAGTGCTAGGGAATCATGGGAACTGTAGTTTTTTTTTCTGAGACATTGAGCCTTCACTGTCAGGGAGCACTGGTGCCACAAAAAACTACAGTTCCTATGATTCCCTAGTACTGAGCCAGAACAGTTAAATTGGTCCCAAAATGGATTATTTCTGGCAGTCTGTTCAGGCCTGTAAATCGGTTTAAAAAGCCAAGCGATAATCTCTGTAGTTCGTGCTTCTTCTGGTCCATCTGGAGAGTGTTTGCACATTTCTCTACCTGAGAAAATGCACATCTTTAAAATCTGTGGCAGGCTGAGTAAAGTCACTAATTCCGTGGCTGTTTCAGCTTCATCAGAACGCACTCCTCTCCAATGATATCCTATGGAACTGGTTCCCCATGTTTCCATCAGTCTCATTTTACATTGTGAGTTTAGGAATGCAACCCAACATAAATTGAGGCCTGCCTGTATAATAAAAATAGTACATGATTACTATTAAAGGCATATGTAATAAAAGACAAAACAATTTTAAAAACGGCATTTAAGGTAATAGCTTACAATCTCATGGAACCCCTTAGCAGTGACAGGTACTGCTCTTGCCTGTCAGATGTAAAGGAAAAAGGAGTATCAGATGTCATGAACATCGAGATTAATGCACATGCTAAAACACCAGATGATCTCATTTCTGTGGCTTCATATGGATGCTCCAAACTATGGGGGCAAAACTGAACCCTAAGCCTCACAGTATAGATAGCATAGATGAGCAACAGATTTCCCAGTAATGCCACCTTTTGGGTTTGGGATGTAGCATTAGTTCAGAAGGACATTTCCTTCCATTGCCAGGAATAATCCAAATAAGAACAGAAGACACTCAACGTCAATTCCAAGAAGCCTATTTGGAAGAATACCGTGGCTGTTGATATTACGAGTGGGCAAGACATCAACCTTTGGCCATGTGTGACTATTTGCCACTGGCGTTAACAAAATGGTCTCTCAAAAATGACGCCTGGTAGGGATGGCAGAGAGTTTTCAGCTTTCCATTTCCAAAAGGGAAGAGATGTGCTGCTGTGTTAATCAATGTTAATTATCCAAATGGTTTGGAGATATACATCAGCCCCATATTCAAGCACCATACTCAGAAAGGGCATACTGGTGGTTAACTGAAGGCTGCTGCAAGTTAGTTAAAAGAGATCTTTCTAGAGAGTGGGTTCACGAATACAAGCCCTTTCTTCAAGGCATCTAGAACGGCATTCATCTCAGGGGTAATGATAACCGTTTGGGGCCCATTCACACTACACAGTTACAGTGCTATTATTCCATTCTATATAACATCCTGAGGTTTGTGTTTGCTGAGGCACTGGAGCCCTCTGTCTGAGAATCCAAAATCCAGGTTGCGTCTCCCTTATCTGGAATTCCAAAATCCGAAATATTCCAAAATCCAAAATGGTGGCTGAGACAGTAACACCTTCTGATGGTTCAATGTCCATAAACTTTGTTTCATGCACAATCATTACACACAGTCATGTATAACGTTACCTGCAAGCTATGTGTATAGGGTGTAGATGAAACATAAATGAATTTTGTGTTTAGACTTGGGTCCCATCTCCAAGATATCTCATTATATACATATATGCAAACAGAGTTATTCAGAAATATTAAAAAAACAGCCAAACTTCAAAACACTTCTGGTCCCAAACATTTTGGATAAGGGAGACTCAAGCTGTACCCCTCACTAAAATGTTAATCCCAGGATTCAATATGATGCAACCATGGCAGTTAAAGAGGCATAATAGTGCTATAATTCTGTAGTGTGAATGAGCCCCTGGACTCAGCCAAGTCAGTCCCATCCTTCCTGTTCAGTGTTATGATGATGTGCAATGAGACCAAGGCTGCATCTGCATTGCAGAAGTAATCCAGTTTGACACCTCTTTCATTGCAATGGCTCAGTGCTATAGAATTCTGGGATTTGCAGTTTTGTGAGACATTTAGCCTTCTCTCTCAGAGAGCTCTGGTGCCATAAGAAACTAAAGCGCTCAGAATTCCACAGCATTGAGTCATGGCAGTAAAGTGGGGTCAATCTGGATTATTTCTGCAGTGTGAATGCAGCCCAAGTTCGTAAATTATCTCTCACCTCTCCAAGCAATTTGTTCCCACGGTCAGGATGCATCATCAGAAATTCATCCCATAAAACAAGACTACACAAAGCTCAGGAGACATCCCTTATCCAAGGAGAAAAGAAGGCTATAAATGCAAAAAAACATCAGGCAAATGAAAACGAAAAGACTGTTCAATTACTTTTATTATTATTCTGTTTATTCTTTTCTGGTTTTCTTCCCCGGAAGACACTTAAAACTAGATGTTAATTTGTTCAGTGTGATATGAAGTTTTTCCTTAGCCAAAAGTAACAGAATCGTTTCCAAGAGATCAGAAAAAGGTGTGTATGAATGAGAACAATTTACCTTTCCCTACTTCCAGAAGAAAAATGAGAAGCAACCCACTTATGTTCCACACAATTAAACACATGGCAAGCTTCTTAAAGTATAGGGAAACCCAGATTGAAGACTAAACAAAATTTAAGCCAAAGATCAGAAGAACTATGCAACGCAAATAGATAAACGGATGAAGAGTGTTTTAGATGCCCTGGAAATGGGATTCTCCCACTACTCAATAGTGTTTTTTTTTTAATAATTGCAATTTTGTATCTATATATTCCATTGAATCCCCATTGTACAAAAAGACAAACTGAGGCCTGGTGTGATATACACCCTGCAAAAGGTGAACTGATGGATCTTTGGATCATGTTTGCAAATGATGCTCCCTTAGGACTTTGCAGAATGTGTCTGGGTTTGTAGGCAACAATTCTTCTCCAACTGCCTAGTGTGCAGCTATCTTATTGTAGTGTATTTGCACTGCGGTGATGCATTGCATCTGGGTTTTTGTAGATGAATCTGAGATAGGATGGTCTGATCTTGTGGCATCCTTCTAATTCAGGGATGCAAACCTACATACCCTGTTTCATAGTAACTTCACAAAACCCCACCCCACCTCTAGGCATTTCCTCCCAAGAGTATACAAAGACTTCACTTCCTGCCCATGCTCATTTTGCAGCTGTTTCCACTAAAACCACACTGCTTTTCCATCTGTTCAGTGTTGTACAGGCATACCTCAGTTAATAAAGTCTCTGACAGTGAAGCTCCTTTTTACAAAGTCTTTTTAGGTCTGTCTAGCTCCTCTTCATTCTTCATTCTGTCTAGCTCCTCTTCATCATCCTTATCCTCTGTCCAGCTGGACATTTTTAATGCAGCACTGGCAGTGGGAGGATGATAGAGGGCTGAAGAAACATAGACCTTTGGTGTTACGTTGCAGTGCTGCAGTAAATAATGTAATAAAGCTTGAATTGGGAAAGAATGGGATTATACTCTAACTGATCCAAGTGTAGCTGTGTGTACCTGCCTATAAAAGGCAAGGTAAATGGCAGCTGTCTCCAGAATCCCTTGCTAAGCATGCAAAACCAGAAGAGGGAATAGCATATAAGACCCTCTCACCAGCTATCCCACCATGTTAAAAAATAATAGATGTGTAAGTTTGGTCACCAAAATGGAAACCCCTAAAAAAAGTGAAGGCTAATGAAAGAAAAAGTCATCTCTGGATGCATTTTGGAAGAATCCTTCCAGCACTCTCAAAAAGTTTCAAAATGTTTTTGTTTTACTTTTGAAACACTCATGTGACCTGGTTCTTTCATTTCACTTTGCATAGATTAAAAAAGTTCGCTACTATATGTTGCATTGCCCAAATATTGTGTGTTATGGGGAGCTATCTCTATTCTTTCTATGTTGTTTCTGCCTCTGCTACCAAATTTTTTGTTAAAAAAAATAATGCCCAGGAACACATCTGCTTCATTAATGGAGATATACTCGTATTACTGTAAACCCTTGCTCCCATTTCCTAATCCTTTGAAC